TCCCCCCCCCCCCCCCCCCAGTTCTCAGTTTCAGAGAGGTACCCAATTTGCTCATTTTTCGAAATTAGGAAACTTATTCAAACTTTAATTTTCATAATCTTTATACATTTACCTTTAAACATTGTTATACGTTATTATCTAAACCTCATTACAAAGACACTACGACACTTTTTAGAACGCACACCTCTTTTTCTAAAATACTGCTGTATTGGTTGGGACTGGGGTTAGGGAGTATTAAAAAATGGCTGGGGCTGGAAGGGTTAAGTACACTTTGGACAAAATAGTTCTGAGGCAATGCAATACTAACATATACGTGTATTATAATAAAAGAACTCTAGCGTGTAACCGCCTAAAGTCTAGCTGCCTGGACGGCTCTCGGTGGGAAACTCACGTCAATGAGGGCCACCTCCGGGTGGTTCTCCCCGTGGCACACGATGGCCAGGTAACGGGCACGGTACATGAGGCGCAGGGCACTCGTCACTTGGTTGTTGGCGAAGCAGTACAGGGCCAGGTGAGCCTGAAACATGGACAGTGGTCAGTCGGGATGAGAGTGTGTGTGTGTGTGTGTGTGTGGTCACCTGGTTGTTGTCGAAGCAGTACAGGGCCAGGTGTGCCTGAAACATGGACAGTGGTCAGTCTGATCAAACAGGACGGGTGTGTGTGTGTGTGTGTGTGTGTGTGTGTGTGTGGTCACTTGGTTGTTGGCGAAGCAGTACAGGGCCAGGTGTGCCTGAAACATGGACAGTGGTCAGTCTGGTCAAAGTGTGTGTGTGTGTGTGTGTGGCCAGGTAGCCGGCGTGGTACAACTCTACTTATGACGGGAGGATGAGAGAGAGTGCGTGTGTATGTGTGTGCGCGCGTGCGTACGAATGCATGTGTATGAGTGCGCACGAATGTGAGGGTGTATGCACTGTTGTGTGTCCATCTGCATATGAGCACAAGGGTCTGTGAATGTGGCCATTTCACGACATACTACTATAAACCAAATGTTCAAATAAAATGAAAGTCTTGTACAAAACAAGAACCATGGTGGGAATGCAGAGAACAGGTTCAATAAAAAATCAGAAAAAACCCAACAAAAACGCACTCCGCTCTCCCCTGATAAACCCAGTTAGTTTTAGTAGAGGTTTTACGGCACTCGCAACTGCATAAGGTCATATGAGCGCCAGAAGATAAGAGGTGTTACAAGAGAGTAACAAACATAAAAAAGAAGAAGGGGAGATAAGGACGATAGATGTTTGATAGGAAAGAAGAAGCAAAAACCACACCAGAGCCCCACCAACCACCCACTGATAAACCCAGCTTGGTCAGATCAAGGAGGAGAACACTCACAGGACATGAACACTTTATGACAGAAGGAAACAAACGTTCAAGAAGGTCACTATCTCGACATCTGTAGTACAACAGACAACAGCACAAGTAAACAGTCACAGACTTACATATTCTTTTTTAGTAAGTTTTACGGCACTTGCAACACAATAAGGTCATATAAGTGCCGAAGATTAGAGGAGAGATCAGGACGATAAATTTTGATAGGAAAGAAGGAGCAAACAACACCAGAGCACCCGCCAACCACCCACGACATCTACAGTACAACAGACAACAGCACAAGCAAACAGTCGAGGACTCACATATTCGGTGATGGTGTTGGGATGATCCACGCCCAAAACTCGCTCACTCATCAGGACAGCCCTCTGCTGGTAGGACATCGCCTTTGGGAACAGAAAATATATTTTCAAACCTCGCTCACAAAGAAACGTCAATATAGTTAAAACACGATAATTTTGACATATGCCAACTTGTATTCATGGGACCACTTACCTTTCTGAACTATCAAAACCTTTAAAAAGTGACAGAAAAAGAGGGGAAATGGGGGGAGGGGGGGGAACACAGCAAGAAACAACAAAGTGTCGCAAGCACACAAGCATTCCCACCCACCCTAGAAGCCGACAGCACCGCCACTAAGTCAAACAAATAAGCACCCACTTTTTAAAAAAAATTACTTTTAGGCAATGAAGAACTCTTGCAACAATATGCTTTTCTTGAGTACAGCAGAAACCTATCAGGACAAACGTCGTATTGTCCCGTTATGAGGATACCTAACCCACAACTGAATTAGACAACATCTCCTCCACAAACATTTCAGTTTAGTTTTAGTAGAGTTTTTACGGCACTCGTAACTGCATAAGGTCATATGCAAACATTCCAAAAACTCTAAGCTTCCCCCAAAACACAATACAGGTCTCCCCTCGAAAATACAAAACTAGATCCACGTCGGTACCTCTCTCTCTCTCACAACACAGACACACACATCCACGTCCGTACCTCTCACAACACAGACACACACATCCACGTCCGTACCTCTCTCTCTCACAACACAGACACACACATCCACGTCCGTACCTCTCACAACACAGACACACACATCCACGTCCGTACCTCTCTCTCTCACAACACAGACACACACATCCACGTCCGTACCTCTC